AGACACTTCAAAGAAACTAAATTTTATGATTTTCATTGGATCGAAGTGCTTCTCAAAGTTACGAAAAATAGATCCGAACATCACCCATGTAGATTAAATTTAGTTTTGGAGTTTTATAATCCTATTAGGGGGCATTTTTTATTATTTTAGCACCTGCAAACATCTCAGAGGTGAGAGTTTGGAGTTCGTGCAATCAAAGTAAGTGCAAAACTTTCGTTTTTAGATTGCTTGCTTTATTTTGAGATGCATTCTTCAGGATCTAGTCGAAGTGGAGATCTGGATTGAAAATATGGATATAACCTGAATCCAAATGACAATAATTGCATTAGATGCAATTATTGTGAAAAAGATACAAAAAGGGGCATAAACTGGTTTAAGAAACATCTTGCCGGTATTAAGGGGGATGTTGCCCCTTGTAAAAATATTCATGAAGCTATCAGAGAGGAGATTAAGCAATATATGGCTTCTGTAAAACAAAAACATGAAGAAAATCCTTGTCATTTGAATAGATGTATTTCTTCTTCTTCTAGAAGAAGTGATCCAGGTTGGAAGTATGGTTATAACTTAAAACCAAACGATAAAAATTGTATAAGGTGTAATTTTTGTAAAAAAGATACCAATGGGGGTATTAAGTGATTCAAGAAACACCTTGTTGGTATTATAGGGAATGTTGCTTCTTGTAAAAAGGTTCTTGAAGCTATTCGGGATGAGATTAGACGATTTCTGAATTTAAAAGAACTAGAAAAAGATGAAAATGAGCATTGTTCTATGGAAATATCTTCTCTAGGTTCTTCTAAAAGTGGTGATCCGGGTTGGAAGTATGGTTATAACCCGAATACGAATGACAAAAATCGTATTAAATGTAATTATTGTGGAAATGATACTAATGGGGGCATTTACCGGTTTAAAAAACACATTGCTGGTATTAAGGGGGATGTTCCCCGTGTAAAAGTGTTTCTGAGGCTACCAAGACGGAGATTATACAATATTTGAGTTCAGGGAAGTACAAAAAGATAGAAAAGGGTAGAGCCAAGACTCCTAGGACCTCATATGCACATACTAGTAAGAGGGAGATGCAGATTCAAAAGAAACAGAGGAGGACAAGTGTTATATTGAAGAGGGAGATGACTTTTATGATGATGGCCTCGAATCTGATGCATATGATGAGGCTTATCTTATTCCTTCTGATGATGATGATGACTGAAGACTCTTAGTGTTGAGTGTTGACTGTTGTGTCTTAGACTGTATATTTTATGAATTATTGTATATTTTCTCTTTCTTATTTTTAGTTTCTACTTTCTACTTTCTAGTTCTACTATCTAATTTTTGTGTGTACAGTCTACAGTGTATCATATTATCCGTGTATGCTTGTATGGTTTTACTGTTTTAGCATTGTATGAAAATATGGATTATGGTATTATAGATTATCAAAATTCTCTTCTCGACTTCTCTCTTCTTTTGTTTCAACTGGGATTATGGTCTTATGGATTATCAAAATTCTTATGGATTATAGTCTTATGGATTATCAAATTTCTTATGGATTATCAGAATCAAACTATCTCTTTCTTTCTTTTTTTCAACTGGGTCGCCCATGTTTTGGGCGCCCGCCTAGGTAGCTACCTAGGTGCTAGGCGGCCTGGACCCCCATGGCCTCTTGGGTGTCGCCTAGTGCTTTTTGAAAATATGGCAGCTGAGGTCTTTAGCCAATCGATCTCAAGTCTATATGCAGCTGAGCTGCTCGTCGACTTCTGCTTCGGCCCCAATGGACCTATGATATCTCACCTTTAACACGCAGACGACACTCTTCTCTTCTGCGACCCAACAACCCAGCAAGTAGATACATTGAGGATTTTCTTAAAGTGCTTTGACATGGCTACGGATTTCCGAGTGAACCTGGCAAAGTCGTCCAAATCCTAATCGTTGTATCCTCTGCCTCAACGATGAATAATCCACCCCCACCTCCTCATCCACTGCCCCCTAGCTATGGAGTTATGGGTGGAGATCCTTTGCCTGCCTCAACGATGAAGAATCCAACCCCCACCTCCTCATCCACTGCCCTCTAGCTATGGAGTTATAGGCGAAGATCCTTTGCCTTTTTGAACTATAAAATACTCAGAGGCAGGTAAAATTCTCTTGGGTCCCTCACTGACTCCGTCAGAAACTCCATCATCTGCTGGGCCAACAGCAGCAAACTCTTCCACCCCATCCCCTCCTTGGCATTCCACCTGAGCTTCCCCTCCTTGGCATTCCCCTCCTAGTCTTCCGGCCTTATAAGGTTTCCGAATCCTCTTTCTGGCGGCCCCCCAGCATAAACCAAATCAGATGAAATTTTGATGGATGCTCTTTGGACAACCCGGGACTGTCAGGAGTGAGTGCTTTATTTCACAACTTTGAAAGCTCCATTGTCCACTCTTACTCCCACCGTATTGGGTTTTCGGACTCGACAACAGCTGAGGCCAGCATCCTCCTTAAAGGCCTTAGAGCCTTCGACCTATCATGGAATCCGTCTCTCATTATTGAAAGGGATAACCGCGTGATCGATTGAATCTCATGAACATCCCTCGGCCCTTGGAGACTACAACACCGTTTAGACGAGATCTTCTTTCATTTCTCGAGCCTCTTGATCACTTGGAGCCATGCCCATAGAGAAGCTAATGCTGCACCGATGCCCTTGCCAAAGAGGGGGCCTCGATCCCCACCCTAGTAGCTGCTGGTCTATGATCCTGGTTAACATTCTCAAAAAAAAAAAATTACTCCTACATTCTAGACTTATGGCCTCCACTTTTTGGGACTTCCCTTTGAACCGGGTTGTGAACCCGTTACCACATCTGTTGTCTCATCTAAAGCATCTATCCACCTAGAGCCTCATCGAACAGCTATCCAACACTCTAATTTAAACTAGTTGACTGCCTATTCGGAGTCGCCCCCTCACTTGGACTCTCATCCAGTGGGCACCCGTACCCATGCTCCACCCAAATGAGCCCACACCTGTCAGCCCATCCCAATGCCCTGATGATTGGCACATAGGCTACTACTTGGATAGTTGCAATCAGCCATTGACGACCCTATAGTACATTGGACCCCAGATGCCCCTTATCCTACCATGATATGCACGGAGATCTACTGCAAGCCACATATGGGTGGGCAAGATCTTCCCACACCCCATCCCTTTGCCCACCATTCTAAACCCTTCTAGCTTTGACCACATCACACACCAAGGTCCACCATGACTCATAGATGGACATCCCTCATGACTTCAAGCCCACCTCCCCAACAAAAGCAATGAGCTCCCCTCACCACCTTCCATGTTACTCGTCCCATCCCCCTTTCCTCATAGATTGACAACCCAAATCCAACCACTTTTTTGCCACCACCACCACCACCAATTGCTACCCTCTTGGAGATGTCCAATATCACTGATGTAGAGCATACAATGGTTTTAGGGTTGTCCGACATTTGCCAATATCGAACAAACCAAAAGATAGGGGTGTTTGGTGTTTCTGATATCGGACATGCCTAAAAAAACTTAAAAAGAAAATGTGAATTTCCAACTTGTCTGATGTTGAAGATGTTGGACAGGGTGCAAAACTAAGAAAAAAGGGTAAATTGGGTTGGTGGGGGTGGGTTTGGTTCCATGTAATTTTGGGGAAAATGTGATGCATACTGTTATAAAGGGAGGGGGAGACGGGAAACCGGTCCAAATATAAATTTTCCTCATAATTATCATCAGATGTTGAGTCTTTTTGCTTGATTGATTTTGAGGTAATCAAGAAAATCGACAGTGTGGATGGAAACAAAGCCCAGATGTTGAAAGTTGTGGTTCATCTACAATGGCCCTATCATCGAGATAAGTGACATGTTTAGTTGGAGCGCCTTCAAAGGACCCATATTGAATGCCAAAAGTGGTAGCATCATGGGGCTATATTTCTTTTAGCCAAACCTTGTGGCCTTGCCTCCTAAGACTTCAGCACTTAGGGCCAAGTTCAGCCTGGCACCCTCATAGACGTACAAGAGAAAGAAGACAAGGGTCGTTGCTCAATTCTACGCTTGCTATTCGATAACTAGTATATTGCCGCCGATGCCCACCAAGGGTTTGGGCCACAGGTTTATATGGACCTCAGGTTACACTATTTGTAATTGAAATACAGTGAGCCACTTGACAGCCTGCCACTGCCAAGGCCCGCCAAAGGGGTCCTTACAAGCCACCCATGACCCACAGGCTAACCACCTTATCATGCCACCTGATAGGTGGTTATTGATCGTTACAAGCCACCCATGACTTGGATGTTGTCTCTCTTGAATTTGAACTCTGCCTTTCCTGCCAAGGCTGTTTGTCACAAATTCGGCGCCATCATTGCCTTGTCTCGCATGCTGCTTAGCCTCCCACACAGCATCCTGCACAATTTGACAGTCTGTCCATGGCCTTAGTACCTCCCCTCGTAAAGGTTTCTTGGATTAAAGAATTGGACAACCGGGTTTCTTGGTAGTTCCTACAGCCAAGTTGCACTAATTCTCATTGGACTTGTAGGTCATTTCTTGACTTGTTACTTGGGCCAAGGGAGGTTCACATGTCGAGCCCTTTGTCAGCACTAGTCTACCAAAAATGTGTCGCCCTCATGCTGCATATGCGATGATAGAGGAAATGATGCAGTCTGTTTGGAACAAACTCGTCCCTGCATATATGAGATCCCCCCTGCATATACGAGATCCCCCCCTTTTTTTTTAGGTAATACATCCCAGGGCACCTGACTTGGGATTTCTGTGGAACAACTTTGTTTAATCAATTGCAGTGCATAAGAGAAGAACCAAGAGTACAATTGTGAGGAAGAAATGGAGTAAAAATTGTATATATTATGTCTTTCCCCTTTATAAAGACCTTGTTGATTATTAAGGCCTCCTTTCTCACTCTTCCCCACGTTCCTAATCATGCCCCATCTGCTTGCATTTTTCTCCCTTTCATAGCTGGAAGTTGAATTGAGTGGAATGTGTTATTTGTGCAGCTGCTATTTGATCGTGGGTTAAATCTTGCAAGAGAGGGTGAGATTATTGTCATGATATGGTATTTCTTGCAAATCGCGTTTGAGCTGAGCTGGAGCTTTCATTCTGCTGTTAGTCATGCCGACATGGGTTTCCCACCCCACATTCCATGTTCCATGACCTTCACTGTTAGATAGTAGCAAATGACTCCAAGGGAGTGGGTTTCATTCTCCATTAATCTCATTCCTGAATAATGATGGCAATGATTTTCAGAGTATTGGGTATGCATTTTGGCTTTGGAGGTGCCATGAAACATTGAGATATCCATAATATCCGATATTGTTTAGCAAGTGATTTGGAGTATATATCCAATGTGTCCTTGCAGATGCTCGCGTCAGAGGATTTAGACATATACTGGATATGCCCCTCTAGGGCTACCTATCACTAGAGGACTTGGACATATATCAGATATGCCCCTGTGGTTGCTGACCACTAGAGGACTTGAAGACATATATCAAAAATACCCCTGTGACTGCCAGCTACTAGAGGACTTAAAACTAGAAAAGAGGACCTTGGCCAGAATCTTATAGGAGCTATTCGCCAAACTAATAGGGGCGAAATCTTTTAGCTTCACCGCACCCTCTACTTTGGGGATAAGGGCTACAAAGGTAGTGTTCATTGCCTTGTTAATGATTCCCCTATCATAGAATTCGGCAAAGAAAGCCCGCAAGTCTGGGTGCAAGAGCTCTCAAAAGCGATTATAAATGGCTATTTGAAATCCGTCTGGGCCGGGGGCTCTATCCTGGCCTAAGTCTTTAATGGATGAGATTATTTCCGATTCTAGGAAGGGTACGTCAAGACTTTGAGCTTGGGCAGGTGAAAGAGTGAGAAAAGAAAGCTCTGCCATTTGTTGGCTGAGGCGTGGCAGAAAAGAGATCCTTGAAATATTGAATAATGGTTTCTTCTACTCTAGAAGGGTCATCCAATGACTCCCTGAGACTGAATTTGTGTGATGAGATTTTCACTTCTTCTACAATTGGCAATCTTATGAAAGTAACCAGTGTTGAGATCTACTTACCCAAAAAAAAAAAAAAACCAGTGTTGAGATCTCCTGTCTTGAGCCACCTGACTCTGGAACGCTGTGCCCAAAAGATCTCCTTCCGAATGGTACATTGAAAGTCAGCTTTGTATTGAGATCTCAGGAGCTGCTCATTGGAAGAAAGAGAACGGGACTCCTCAAGAGTGTTGAGGTCATGAATCACTGAGAGTAGAGAAAGTTTCATAGCCCAGAAATTCCCAGGTAAGTTCTTGCTCCAAGTTTTGAGGGCCTCTTTGAGGAGCTTGAGTTTTTGTTGGAATCTGAAACCAGCCCAACCTTGAATTAAGGGGGAAAAGAGGATCACCAGGAAGGAACAAGGGAGTGGAGGGAGGATTCTTCGAGCCAGGCCATTTCAAAGCGGAAAGGTCTAGGGCCTCCTAAGGGAGGGGAGGTACCTAAGAGAAGAGGTTTATGTTAAAAAATAGTTTTGGCTAAAACTCGTGATGTGGTGCCTGGGAAGGAGGCCTCCCACTCCAAACTGCGAAGGAAGCGGTCGATCTTGGAAAGGCAGGGGGATGGAGAAGAGTGGTTCGACCAAGTGAATCTTGCTCCAAGGAGAGGGATATCCATGAGATCATTGTTAACTATCCAGTCCACAAAATCCATCATAGCCTGAGAAATAGTGGAAGAATTTGATCTTTCAAAAGACCATCTAGTGTCGCTGAAGTGACATCCCAGACACTAAGAGGGGGGCGGGGGGTCTCAGAGGCTGAGAATTTGGCCTGTGAACTTCCACAGAAGACCGTCCGACAAATGAGAGAGGGACACTATGACCGAAAAGGAGGCCACCACGGAAGAGGAGAGAGAATGGGAGGATAGGTCCTAGATAACCCAAATACCCCTGGAGGCACCCTGGGCTTCGAGGGCAATCCATTGACATGGCCTATGACCCCAGACTTGACTGATTTGGTGGAGAGACGTAACCTGGAGCTTGGTCTCAATTAGAGTTGCAATAGAGGGTTGATATTGAGAGCAGTAGGAAAGAACGAAGGATGTATTTTTGCTAGAGCCAAGGCTGTGGATATTCCATACTAAAATCTTCATTATCTGGACAGGGAAAGAGAGTGTGTAGCCGAGCGGCTAGGAGTGGCTTGCGCCCCCGCCGGAGAGGGGGAGCACTGGAAGAGTCTCAATCGAAATGCACATAAAAGAAGAGATTGGAAACTTCTCTAGATTGCTTCAGACTTACTTTGAAACGTGTCTCAGCATTGGAGCGACAAAAAGCCTCCACATCTTCCTATGATCCATCGAACTTAAAACCCACAACCCGGTGCACTTGGTCAGCTTTCCCCGGCGCACTTTCTGTGGACCTGACTTTGTCTTTCAAGGTTTGCCAATGAGAAAATCCTTTGGTTGCGCTCTTTCCAGATGGTCCATAGGGTTGCGGCCACTAATGCCTTCCAAAGCATTAGTCGGAAAAGCTGAGACACTGACTCGGGTGTAACCCATGATCACCTGAACAGTTGGAGGATATCTTCCCACAGAAGGCTAGCTGTGCTGCAATGGATGAATAAGTGTGAGTTTGTTTCTTCATTGGCCATGCACATCACACAGCAGTTGGGAAGTTGCAATCCCCGTTTTTGTAGCTTATCAACTATGAAAGCTCTCTCCGAAATGGCCACCACCCAGTTGAAGACCTGGATTTTTGGGCGGATGTAGGGAATCCAAGCTAGGGTTGTAGGCGGTTTGCCTGTGAGAGAGTTTTGCTGGAGGGGTGATGAGTTTAAGGTAGAAAGAGAAGACTGTGAAGGCTCCCGAGGAAGTGGGGGACCACAAGATTTGGTCTTTACCATGATGGGGCAGAAAAGGGGAATGTAAAGAGTTCCAAGAAGGCTGGGGTTTCTGCATCCGTATGATCTCTACGATGGTCGGGTTCCACACTCGGGGGATGTTGCGGGTGGAAGGTGGTCTGCAACCAGGGTGTTGGGATCTCTAGCTAGTTGGAAAAGGCTGGGGAAGTGAAGCATTAGAGGGAGGTGGCCGATCCAACGGTCTCTTCAGAATCTGACTTTGTCGCTCTCTCTAGGATGGAACGGAATGTGGGTTTTCAAGCAATGAAGACAATGGATAATGGATTTCCAGAAGCCCAAGGATGATTAATGAGGTCTTCTGGGAGGAATCATGGGGAGGAGTTGAGACGATATTTGTGGGTCAAGACCTGGTGCCACATTTGGCCAGCCTGGGTAGCAATTCTCTACCACGATTTACCTAGTAGAGCTGGGTTATTCTTTCAAAGACTATGGATTCCCAAACCACCAAGGGATCTAGGTTTGCAGACTGCGTGCCAAGATATAAGGTGATTTTTTCTGGATTCCTTGTCCCCTGACCAAAGAAAGTTGTGCATAAGTTGCTCGAGATGCTGAGCAATCGTGGGTATGTGCAAGAGCGACATTTTATATGTAGGAACGTTTGAGAGCGTTGCTTCTCTGGCCACCAAGGAGAGGTGCCTTCTTTTCCATGTAGCAAATTTGCTATCACAGCGATCGATGATGTGGCTCGAAAGGCTTTTTTTCAGGCTTGCCAAGGCACAAAGGCAATCCTAGGTAGGTGGGAGAGATGGAGTCAGTTTTGCAACCTCGCCTATCAGCAAAAGCCTGGGTAGAGAGATGGTGAAGGGAACTGCTGATCATCTTGGATTTTGTGAGGTTGACTTTGAGGCCCGTGGGAAGTGGAAACATTTGAGAAAAAGGAGTAAGTTGTCAACCTGTTGGGCCAAAGCGTTACAAAAGACGAGCGTGTCATTAACATATTGGAGGTGGGGGATGGCTGGAACATCCCTAGCAGTCTTGAAGCCCTCTAGAAGCTGTATTTATACATCCTAGAGAGGGATCTGCTGAAAACCTTAGCAGCAATTGCAAAGAGGAAGGGGGAAAGGGGGTTGCCCTGTCTGAGGCCCTTGAGGAGTGGAAGAAGCCACGAGGAGAGCAATTACTGAGAAAAGAAAAATAGGGTTGGTGGATACATCCTCGGATCCACCTTCTGCGAAGGGTTTCCTCCAGGATGGCCCAAATGACATGGTTGTAGCCTTTTCCCAGTCCCGTTTAATGACCAGGCCTGGTGTCTTGGAGACGTTTCCGGAGTAATCATTTGGTATGCTGTAAAAAAAGATGGACTGCGTGCTTTTGGAAGGACCTGTAGCTGCACCCTCAACCATTGTAGGTTGACTTCCCTTGCCTATTCAGTGTAGCTTCCAACCAGAAAGCCACTGTCTTCTGTTTCTGTGAGCAGCGTGGCCCCAAACAATACGGACGTCGAGGTTTATATGCAATCTAGATGACAACAAAGCCTTAGAGCTAGCTTTCGTGCTGCTAGGCTACAACGCCACTTCATACCTCGTTCAGGCCCTGACAAAATGGTATGTAACTTAAACCAGTTCTGGATTATTTTTCAGCTTCCTCTTTTTACTAGACTCTTCATCAAAGGGATGGAAGCCCACTACCACCTTCAATGACCTGGTTTACCCCTGTTCTACTGAAAGCCCAGGCTTTTAATTCTTGGTCTTACCAACTGGGCGCTTACCCAAGAGGCGAGGCGTTCCCCTACCGAGCTTGTGTCCCATGTGTAGGACCATGGAGAATCCATTGACCACCTTTTTGTCCACATTAACTTTGCCTCACGAATTTTATCCCTTAACCTATATCTCTTTGGATGGAATTGGGTTACACTTGCTTTGACCCCTCAGCATCTCTCTTTCTTTCTTCCCATTTCCTAGCTATAGGCTGCATGCTGAAATAGGTCTATGGATGGAATTGGGTTATACTTGCTTTGACCCCTCAGCATCTCTCTTTCTTTCTTCCCATTTCCTAGCTATAGGCTGGTCTATATTCGAGCGCAAACAAAGCAGCATTGAGCCATTTGAGCAATGTTACAACTTACAAGACTTGCCTCAGCCAAGGGACTCAGTCCTTGGTTGAGGCAAGTTACTCGCCGAGTCCCAATGGATTCAGCGGAGTCCTACATAGGGCCAAAAGCCCTTTTTGGCCCTAGATATAAGTTTTGAAAAAAAAAGAAAATTTTTGAAAAAATAGAAGAAAAGTTAACTAAATAAAACCAAAAGTAGCTTTGAAAAGTTGAAATCCTCATCTGAGCCTTATCCCAATTATTTGGGATTGGTTACACGAATTCTATTTCGTCATTTCGCTCCAACAAGGGCCATACCCTATACCCTCAGTCAGACCATACGTTACCATGTCTTTTCTCACTATTTCCATCCATATCTTGTTGCATCTTTCTCTTGCCCTTTCAGAGCCTTCCAAATGAGTTAAATAAGCATAAAAAAATATCAAAAAATGGATTTAGAATGAATTGATTTATAGTTGGGAATATTTACAAAATTCAAAATATAAAAATAAGGATTATAGCGAAAAATATTCACCAATCATTGCCAGAAACATCCAAATCATATACCAAAATTTCATGAAGTAATCCTGCTTATTTTGTTTCATTTTTTTGAAATTTTTCTTAATTTTTTTTATATGTAACTTGAGTTTGTACACACAACTTGGGGTAATTCAACCTTACCTTGTTAAGTCTCTCGCCCGATTGCAAGTGGACTCGGGCAAGTCCCTTAACACTGCATTTTAGAATCGCCAAAAATCCACAATCATTTTCTGGGCCAAGAAGGCCAAAGTCAAATGTAGTTTAGCTCCTATTCCTCAGTCATCCTTTGACGCCTCATTTGCTCCATCTCCTCCCAATGGCGCATTCTAGATCCTTGCATTGAATTACCTGAGACTGGAATCACCACGATCACGTTAGTGGCTGCTCTGCAGGGAGCCCTGGTATGGCTGGCGTTGAAAGTGCCTTTGGAAATCACATGGGCGCCTGCTCTTGTATATGTGGGTCCCATTGGCTTCTCGGACACAAACTCGGCCGAAGCGCAAACTCTGGTTATGGGCCTCAAATTTATCGACAGGGGTTGGAGGTATATTTAATTTATTAAAGGCAATTCACAAAATGTCATTAACTGGAAACAGACTTCCCTATTTTTTGAAAATCGACAAATTTATTGAGCTTTGCTGCCCACTACCAGTCACATTTAAGCATACATGAAGGGCTGAAAACGACATAGCAGACTTTTTGGTCAAGAGGCATCAAGACCAAACCTCTGTACATCCATAACCTATCCCCAAATCCCATACCTAGCTGTACAATTTTGACATGCTAACTTTCTGTACAAATGAACTTAACCCATTTTTCTAGCATCTGTACACCATTTACCCTCATCACCGCAAATTCTATAAATCTAAAAAAAAAGAAGAAAAAGAAAGAAAAGAATTTAATGAGCTTTCACTTGCAGGAAATTCACCCTTCTGGATGCATGGAATGTGCTGAAGAAAGTTCATCGTCGAGCGCAACCCAATGATGGTTTCATGAGAACCCTTTTGGAATTGGATAAGAAGGCTCATGGGAAGGCTTCAATGGAGTGGCAGCAAAGGAAACCTGTAATGAAAGTGTGCCCTATATGTCGCAAGAATGCAGGGCTTAGTAGCAGTTCCCTGAAGCTCCATTTGCAGAAGGCACACAAAAGGATATCATTAGGAAGTGTTGACAGTGCCATGATCATGGAGATCGAAAAGGCTCTGGATACAGTCAGGATAAGCTAGGCTTTTCGATAACCAGTGAAATGTATCGAGCTATGGACATAATGAGGGTCAAGTGATTTGACATTGATGGAGGCAGTTGCAGTTGACACCTAAATGTTCCCTCGCCCCATAAGGCGAAGAACGAAGCACAAAACCACGTTGTGTTTCTCGCTCACCCAGATCTCTTGCAAAAACAGATTAGGTTTGGGTCCATATTTAACTAACAAGGACTGGGGAGAAGTATGCACAAGGAGGGAAGTGGTGGTGCCATGAACCAGCTCTGCAGGTGCTTAGATTGAGAAGTGAAAATCTACAAAATGAAAAGTACATAGGTTACCCCTTTTGGAAGGTAACTAACTGCAGTGGCAGTTATTTTGCTGGCTTAACAACGCTGGGTTTGAAATACTCCGCGTTGTAGTGTTGTATCTTTATTATTTGTCGAATTTTTTTTGATGTTGCTCATAAATTATTGATTTTACAACGTTCACATGGACATGGTGCAAAAGTAGCCCTGGCTCATTCTACTTTTGATGGTTGGTTTATGAATTCCTTCTCATCTGTCCTGCATGCTGTTGGATATTGCGAATTGTGATCATTCAGGAACTTCATCCAGAGATGCCCTCTATTAATGCTAGTGTGAAGACTTTTGTGTTACGTGCTCCGTAGAATATATCCATGCTCCGTAGAATGTTCACCCAAAGGAAACGGGTGGGTGAAATTTGTACAAGGGGACTGTAGAAGGCGCACCTCACACCTTTAAATCTTGTAAATATTAAAGGAGTGCAGTTCGTATAATAATATAATGAAGAATGATTTTATGCTACGGTTTGTATAGTAATATATTAAAACAACATCAAAAATTATGGTAGGACCATTTATTGGACTTTATTTTTAAACTTTTTATTCTAATAAATTCTAATAATTAATCGTAAGAACGAAAAAAATTAAAAGCACAATTTAGAAGATATTTTTTAAGACCAATTAATATAGGCCATCCATGGTTAGATTTAATTTTTATCTTTCTAAATTTTTTACATAATTTTATAACCGTTATATTAACGATTTTTTTAAAAAAATTTAATTTTAAATTCGAAAAAGCCTAAATTTGAAAATTTGCGTGATCTAAATTTAAATTTGGAGAGGACTCTTTTTTACCAGGGTACAAATTTAATTTTTTTTTTTTTAAGATTTGATTATTAGGATGAAAGGAGTGTAAAATTTAGAGCCGCATAAGTGCCACAAATATGGATGAAAAGAGTGCAAAATTTAAAATCATATAAATACCACGAATATGATTTTCTAAAGGGAAAGCATCTATCTTAGAAATAGAAGTAGATGTGCCATCTAAAAAACAATGAAAGCTAACTGTCCAAATGTTTTCTTATTAAAATATTTTAATTCTAATTTTTATTATAATTTTAATTTTTTTTTCATATTTATGATGTCCTTCACATAAGTCTTAAAATCCATCTCAAAAATAAATTTGTTAAGAGGCCTGCATTTCTATTTGGGTCCTTTTCCTAAAAGATGTTAAAATCCATCTCAAAAATAGATTTATTAAGAGGCTTGCATTTCTATGCGGAGCCTTTTCCTAAAAGGTGTTAGCCCGCATAGATACCGGGTCCTTTCCTAAAAGATTTGATTTCATTATATTACACTGAGACATAATATCATTCCCCACACTTATAATGGCTTTCAAGGATTTATTTTCATCTTGGTAGATATTGTTGATCTGGCAACAAGAGGGGAAGTCTTCTTGTTATTTCAGATGTTTAATTTGATCAATGTATTTCTCTCGGCTTTTATATCGATAAAAGCTTAATACTCTTATCCAAAAAAAAAAAAGTATTGAACACATCAATGAACACTCTTTTAACTACCCAGAAAACTCTTCCCCCAAATGATTAAATCATTAAAGGTGCATCTTCAATAAGAATGAGGTCGACAACTTAAAAATCTTCTTCCAGAAAGCAAACTTAAATGAGGAATGCAACACGGATCAAATCCAATCATGGACGCTAAATTTCCCTCCAATAACAATGAAAAGCCCATGTCGCCCCTTAAAATTCCATTTCGTGGTCTCTACCCTCCAACCAAAACCAAACAACCAACTCACATGCAAGCCATTCGTTCTTATATCAATATCCATTTATGTGGCGCCCCTTACTCCATGAAAGGAGTTTTGACGGTAGTATTGTCGAGTCCCATAATGAGGTATTTTATACCGACGGAAAAAAAAAAACACACGCGCCCGCGCCCTTAGGGGATTAGTGCCTCAAGTTACAACTAAATAAGCCAAACGCTCTCGCAGACTCCAACCTGTTTACACTTGAAAGAAAATGTTGACATAAAACACCCCGCTGCATGGCACACGGTACACCATGCGTATCATCCTCTGTCCCTCGACTGTATCCTACGGCAGAGATCGGCATCCCTAACACTGTTAATGTTCCCAAGGTGCAGCACACATACCATACACAAGTAGTCAAACAATTGTCTGGCCTCGCTTCTTCAGCAGCTCCCTAAGCACACGAGAGGCGGGGATTTGAGGGATGCCCCTCTGTCGGGCCTCTTCAAACATGCGTCGGCCCAGCTCCAAAGCCACGTCCGCAGTTGCGGATCGCTCATCCACTAACCCAACTGCATCCGACTCCCCTGACTCGTTCGCATCAATCTCAATGGCCTGAGTTATAGGAAACCTGCTATCCTTGAATTCTATATTCGAAAGAGTTGACGGCTTTTCATATAGGCTTGGGTCGAGCTCCTGTGGCAATTCGCTCCCATGTTTTGTAGTCGAGTGGGGTTCCATCGACGCCCACACAGCTCACGCCTTGAAGGCCATCGCTCAGCCCAGTGCTTTTGTTTTTAAGGGTCGAGGATGCGGAGCTCAGTTCACGCTTTTGGTGTGTGTCAAGGTGAAGAGTTGGGGTTTCGGTGTGGGTAAGTGTAGGAGGAGCTGTTGGGGGTTTTGGTGTGGAAATATGATACTTTGGTCGCAGGGTCAGGTCCATGCCGCATCCTCCCTTCTCTTCATTTTTGTCTCGGTCTTCATCGAATTGAGTCTGATGCTGATGGTCATGGACAGGAGGATTGTTATCTGTGGGGGCATATGTGGCTCTGACTTGTTCAGAGAGAAGACGTCGCCTTCTGAATAGGTTTGAAACAGGGGCCAGGTAGAGCTTCACCATTGATGTTCCCCGCCTAATCATCCTTCTCGCACCGGCTTCCTTTCCACCCCACAACTCTCTCTAAGAAATTCAGTTCAGTCTTAGATCTTCAAAGAAATTCCTTCTCTAAGAAATTCAGTTCAGTCTCAGATCTTCAAAGAAATTACTTCCCTTAGTCTTCAATCTCACTCTACTGGACCTCGCATGGTTGGTTTTATTCCCTCGGATTGATAGATATAAAGAGTGAGACGCTTTTCGTTCGTGGCGCTTCTAGTAGCTGCCGGCTGCCTCGCGTCTTCTTCAAATGCTGCCCAAGCGTACAACTCTTTATTCTTGTCTTTGTACTCCCATAGGAGTATATTGTGCATTTATTCCCTCGTGTAAAGGCCGAGAAGTAATATTAGGGAGGTAACCCTTTCAAGCTACAGAATATTTTCACAAGTAAAAATTTTGGAATTTAACTCTCTAAAAGCCAGATAAATAATATCTGATAGCGTTTCATCAATGTCTGCATCAATAGGGGTGATTTCAGATTGCATATGGGTCTTTATTTCCATGCGTCTAACCTTTCATCCCACGGCTAGGGTGATTTTAGGTCACTATTTATGGCCCACGTAAAAAAGTCAGATCGAGTATTTATTTCCATTCGTCTACCTTTACTATACTATATTTTTCCTCCAATATTGACAAAACAAAACATTTGTATACCATTATTTTCCCTCGAATATTGACAAAACAAAACATTTGTATACCATTCTCCTCTACAACTCCCTTAGGCGTAAGTGCTAAATGCAAGAAATTTCTATTTAAAATTTTGGGATCCATCTAAGTAACATCAAATGATTACGTTACGTTGAAAGGGCAAAAAAAAAAAAAAAATCTTAGGTTGTTGAACATATCGATCTTGCCCTCCAGAAAATTCGATTTTTCCTATCAAAGTTGGGATATTATTTATTATTTTTTGTGAGCTACATAGAGAGTGATATTTAAATTTTTCTTATATGATGTTGGTGGTAGATTCTCGAGGTCACATCCTAAAATTTGGGCTCCAACAAATGCTTCAAGCTTTGAGTTTTACCCAAAGGAGCAAATGCACGATATGCTCCAGCGGGAGCTACAAGTCTTTTCATCCCTAAATTTCCATCATCCCTGTTAGCCCTTTGAAGCTTCGGGTTCATTAGCTTTTTTTTTTGCTCTTTTTACAAATTTGAACACAAAATGCCTAACCGAAGTCATCCATATTTTTTTTTTTTGACTTGATATGCAAATTTTATTGATGCTAATGATTATAATAATAATTATAAATAATAATTATTACAATAATAACAACAACAATATTTAATTATTAAATAATTCATCACTTATAGACATTTTGAGGAATTTTTTTTAATAAATAAATAAATAAATAATAATAGTCCATTAACAATAGTAATAAAAATCTTGATTAATCATTTTCCAAGTTCGAAAGCTATTGATGCAATTGTAAAATAGGTCCTAATATTTTTTAAAAAATTATTTTCTTTTCATGTCTAAATTTATAGATTGCGGTCTATGGAAGTAAGATTGGTTTTAGAAGAAGTTGACTAACGGAAGGGTTTGGCATTTTATAAAATAAAAATATCAAATTTGTAAAAA